CTCTGGTCAACGACCTGCATTGTGATCTGGCTATGCACCACCCTTATTTTATTAGGGGCATGATATTCCCATCATTTTACTCTTACCTGATTAATCCGTACTAGTTGGTGACAATGGGCGAAGAGAAATTGACTTGATGAGTCCTCATTTGCACAATCCTGAAGAGGAAATCTACCTCTTTAGTAGATATTCAGCTACATCTGTTTAACCTGGCACAATCCAGTTATGCTGTGTAAGTTTTGAACCTGTGTCTGGATGCTATTTCTGCACTGGGATTGAAAATCAAATTTTGTGGTCAAATAAATTTGAATTTCTGTTTATACAGAAGGGATCATTGTAAATAACTCTCAAAAATGTGGTGCCTCTTCCCAACCGCAAAGAAAGAAGTAGCAACTTGGAGGTCTTTCTAGTTTCATGGTTTATTGATAGGTTAATGGAAGTTGTGGCCAGTGAGTCTATGCCCAGAATTGAGTGTTGAGCTAATTATGACCCAGTTGGTGTAACACGTTAGTCTTTAATGGAATATGGATTTGATTGAAAAACTGGGAAGGACATCTCAGAAGGGGTATCCAAGTCCTGAGAAAGAGACTCAACACTACTTGCCTTTAATTATGTTTGATTCAAGTTAAAGTAGAAAGGAGCATTAACAGGCTTTCCAAATTCTGTTATCATAACTGGTCTATTGATATTGGAATTTTTAGGCCCAGAGAAATGTTGTGCATTATGATCATCATTGCCATCTTAGGTTTCTATTGATGATGTTTAGTTGGTTTTAATCTTCTGTGTTCTACCTAGGTCATGGATATGTGATTGGTAGCTATACTTAAACAAATAAACAAGTCAGAAATACTGTTTCCTGACTTGGACAACTTTGAAAACCTGCCACAAATCACAGTGACTAAAGCTCTTATCACCATCCACTTGGATTATTGCAACATGTTCTATGTTAAGTTCCATCTGCAGATTACTTGGAAACAGCACAGCATACTTCTCTGGGTCAATTAGAGGCCTTCTGCCTACATCCTGATTGCACTTTGTGGTTTAATATGTTGCTCAAGCCAGGCTTTAGTTACTTCATGTGTTGCACAAATCCAGGACAGGGATTAATTTAACATCAACTTCAATGTACAGTATTAAGACTCCTGGGTGTGCTGGGATGTAGGGTACTTATGTAAGCAAACAGTCAGGTTATAACTTATTTTTTTTAGCCCAAAACAATGTAATGACAAATCATGTCCACATGGTTGCCAGAAAACCTCAAGGTTGTGTAGGAAGTCAGCACCCACCCCTCTCCTAGAAAAATGAAATATCCTGGGAAATATTTAAAAAGCAGAATATTTCCTCTAAAAAGAGTAGAAACTCAGAAGCAGAAGCTCACCCCCAACTTTGTTAATGGGTGGGCCATTAAGGCCTGGGCCAGAATATTTTACATAACAAAGATCTCCAGGTAAAGTTATAGCAAATGCTCAAAAGCCTTTTCAGTGCATCATCATCCAGCAAGGCTCAACCAAGCCTGAAACTCAGGACAGCCTACAGAGTTGCCCCTGCGTGGCCTCATGGGAGTCTGACAACCAATCAGAATACAAGCTCCAATTCAAATCCCAACAAAGGTTACCTCAGCCCTTTCTTGATCTTTTCCTTCACCTTGAAGCATGTGATCATCCTTCCTTTTCACTCTGGAGCTTCAAGCTTCACTCTTTCTGACTAATTTACATTCACTCGCTAATAAGATGGATGAAATACTTCTTTTAAATAGATGCAATTCTGATTTTTACAACTCAGCAGCTCTCAGCAGCAAAGCACAAGTGAGCATAAAGTGGCAGCTGACACCTTGTTTCTTGTTGGATTAAATAGTGCAAAAGACATACCTTTCTGAAAGTCATCTCTGTTATGGAAGTATCAAATCAGCGCCACATGCTTTCTATCAAAGGAAATGGAAAAGGCCCTGGTGGGTAGCATTTGCATGACCAGATCAGATACAGATAGGAAAGCATCCAGCGTGGAATCCAAAGAATCAGAAAGAACAGTGGCTTCAAAATCCTCCTGCCTTCTCACTCTCCAGCCCTATATAATCTGTTGTAGAGCTTGTGCCTGGAATGCTTTTCTCTGTTGGTTCTTCACTTTCAGAGATGGTGCTTCTTATATTTTTGCTACCAGAGTTTTCTGTATTCTCTCCTCATTAAGATTCTTCTGCTGTCTCAGTCACTGGAACATGACTGTCTCTGGAACATGACTTTTATTGCTTTATAAAGCAAATAGAACAAAGTATACCAGTTCTAGAACAATCAGGTGATTAATCTTAAAAGTCACAATTGTTCAATACCATCTTTGCAGAGGAGTATCTAATTAGAGATGTATTACACTATGTTACAGATCCTTTTATGTCCAGAATCTTCCAGTATTCATCATCCCAGACAACTTGATTCAATACCTCAATTTGTGTGGGGGACAGGGAGGGAATAATAATACAATCCTAAATTGCATAAACAGAGGGATACAATCGAGATCAAGTGAGGTACTAATACCACTCTAAAGCCTTAGTAAGACCACACCTAAAGTATTGCATCCAGTTTTGGTCACCACGCTATAAAAAAAGATGTTGAGACTCTAGAAAGAGTGCAGAGAAAAGCAACCAGGATGATTAGGGGACTGAAGACTAAAACATATGAAGAACAGTTACAGGAACTGGGGCTGGCTAGTCTAGTGAAGAGAAGGAGCAGGGGAGACATGATAGCAGTGTTCCAATATTTGAGGGGCTGCCACAGAGAGGAGGAGGGGGTCAAGCTATTTTCTAAAGTGCCTGTAGGCCAGACAAGGAACAATGGGTGGAAACTGAACAAGGAGAGATTTAACCTGGAAATAAGGAGAAACTTTCTGACAGTGAGAACAATCAACCCAATGGAACAGAAGTTGCCCTCGGAAGTTGTGGGAGCGCCATCACTTGAGACTTTCAAGAAGAGATTGGACTGCCATTTGTCAGAAATGGTGTAGGGTCTCCCGTTTGGGCGGGGAGTTGGACTAGATGCCCTACGTGGTCCCTTCCAAGTCTGATTATCTGTTAATCTGTTAAATAACTTCTGCAGCTGTTTATTCCCTCCTGCCACCAACTTCTAAGGAAGACAAAGGGGAAAAAGAAAAAGAAAATAGAAAAAGGGCGATTTCCAATTTTCTTCAATATACTTATAAATATAAAATACAGTATATTAGGCTCTTGATCTAAAAATCAATATTGCACAGTGTTTCTGTAATCATTATTTCTAATCATCAGATCCCAAAATTAACAGATTAACAGAATTGGAAGGGACCTTGTAGGTCATCTAGTCCAACCCCATGCAGGTTGGACCAAGCAGGTGGCCCTACACCATTTCTGACAAATGGCAGTCCAATCTCTTCTTGAAAGCCTCCAAGGATGAAGCTCCCACAACTTCCGAAGGCAACTTCTGTTCCATGGGTTGTATGTTAATTAATGCAATATTTATTTGGGTTTTCAGCAAAAATCCAAAAATGGTTTTTATGGAGCTAGAAAAAGTCTTTCCCTTAATCAAGGTTCTTAATTTTGCCATCTCGGCCAATTCCATTAACCAACATCCATTCTTCCATTGTGGGAATCTATAAGTCTTTCCACCTCTGTGCATATAAAAGTCTCAGTGCTGTTATTTTATTGTATTTTTATTTTATTTATTTGTGTCCCAAATAACAAGCCTAAAGAGGCAGGGATACAACTATATGTTGCAGATGCAAGTGATGATGTCACCCTGAGGGAGAAAATCCCACTTTATCACCAGCAATAATAATTTAATTCCTGAAAGGGATGGGTTTTTAATAGGTTTAAGGAGGTGTGAGAGGATACTGTGTTCTTTTATAATAAGCTCTTGAAAGTTACTTAGAATGCTGAATCACAAAGTTTGAGAACAGCACAATAAGCAAGGGCTGCATATGTTGACGCCCAAAGAAAATTGACACACCAACTTCAGGTATGAGTTTATGATCTCCTTTTCCCTCCCCAATAGGGCGGCACAACGTGGTTAAGACGCTGGGCTTCTCAGCTGGAAAGGTTTAAGACCTGGGTGCCAAACAACGGGGTGAGCTCCCATCCTTGCCACAGCTCCTGCCAAGCTAGCAGTTTGAAAATATGAAAATGCAAGTAGATAAATAGGTACCACTTCTTTTTTAATAAATTTTATTAAACATTTTCCAGCAATTTAAAAACCTCCAACAACATTACAGCATCGTCAACATTCATATTCATGTATTAATCACTATGTTACTTTTATGTCTATTGTCTAACCAGATATACCAGACATCCCAGACCAAATAGCACTCCATATCATTTCTAAGGGTCAGCCTGTGCATCTCTGCACAATCCAGAATCTTTCTAATCACTGTCCCCTCAGATGGTATATTTTACTGTTTCCAGTACTGTGCATACACAATCCTGACCACAGTTATTATATGTAAAATGATACATATGTCTGTCTTAGTATGATCTCCCCTTAATATTCCTAAAAGAAACAGTTCCAATTTTAGATCCTTTTTCTGAGAGTCTATAAGATTTTTGGCTAATATCTTAGTTTTATTTTTCTTTATTTTATTTTGGTTGATCTTCTCTGTACTTTCTCTAGAGTCTCAATATCTTTTTTATAACGTGGGATCAAAACTGGATGCAGTACTCTAGGTGTGGTCTTACTAAGGCTTTATAGCAGTAGTTCACCACTCACCAGTCCTTGCAATAGTACTGTCCTGGCAAGGGTTTGTTATGTCATGAACCCTTCTTTATTTCTCAGGGATGCACCAGTAGCCACTACAGCAGTCCATGTGATAGATCTAGGCTTCTGCTTCTTCGGGGATGGACAGAAGCAAACCAATTGTAAGGGCTTGCCTCAGCTACCTTCCCAAGAAAGTAAAGCTCTTGAAACAGTTTTGCATTTCAAAAGGAACTTTTACTGAGACATAGTGATTGCAGAGAAGTCAGGCAGAGTCTGAAATTCAGGCATGAAGCGTTAGGCTAACTTTTCCCCCAGGATATTCACCCGGATACTCCGTGTCCTTCCATAGCCAACAATATGCCACAAAGGTGTTTTTGGAAATCACCAAGGCTGGATAATGGGAAGAGCTTGTCCTCGGAACACTCGCAACCTTGGATAACTGGCCTGAACTGGTTTATAGGGTATGGAGTCACTGCAGTTGGTGTGAAGTCGGGAGTGGGCTGCT